TCGGATTGGCATTAAATGAAATGTAGTGATTTGAAGAAAAATTATATATAAAATTTAGAAGGTATTTGAGATGATAATGATAGTTACTTTTGAAAATACCTTTTATTTTAAAATACATTGTAATAATTTATTTAAAAAATATTTTTAATATTAACATATTATAATAATTTAAAAAAATAAAAAAGAAATTTTAATGATCTGAAAAGTTAAAAGTTTATATTATAGAAATAATGAATGACACAGTTTTTGTTCAATTTTTATTATTATCTTTATAGCAAATTTATATTATAGATGCTTTGAGAAACATTTTTTTTTTCATTTAATGTATTATAAAAAACTATTATTTGCTGGACACGTTAGGGACACATTAATTACAATATGATTATTTATATATTTTAATTTAAATATGAAAACATAAAAAAATTATAAAAATATATAAAAATATAATTTTAAAAAAGGAGTTGTGCCTGGCATGCAAAAAAAAAAAAAAATAGAAGGAAAGGGGGGGCGATGCATCCTTGGAGTGAAGAGACGCGTTTTCTGTCATTGTTATTCATAGGAATCTAAAATACAGGCAATCAATTTCAGTTCAATATATCAGCATAATATCCTGAAATATATACCAAGCATTAAATAATTATTTTTAAAACATATTCAAACAACCAATGAGAAAATTATTTTTTAAGATGATATTTTTCAGAAACAAATGCATCCTTAGTTCGGGGAATATAGTTGATGATAATTCGATAATTGATGGATTAATTTGAGGTTATACTTTTTTTCCCGATAAAATCTGATGTTTCACTCTTACTTCCCTTATAGAATTTCTCCATAGCCAATTCTTGCATGGAGATTGTCATGATCTAATAAAGAAATACAGAAAAACAGCCGCTACAGTTGCGGGACTCACAGAAATCGACGGCTTCACTTCTCGTGCCACATTTAATGGCATTTCCCATAACAATCTGCCATCGTCGTCTCGCATTCCCGCCAAAACCCACTGCCTCGTGGATTTCCTCCAACCAGCTAAGCTCCCTAAACTCTCTTCCTCTTCTCCTTCCCCAACAGATCCCTTAAATCTCTTGAGCATATCCAGATACTAATCCAGACGCAACCTCAAGCTCTGTTCTCAATCGGTCTCCAATTCCAAAGGCAACAGCACTCCTCACTTAATTCATTTTCAATTTTACTTTCCTTAATTTGTTTTTCATTTCAATCCAGGTCCCTCTGGTGGAGGACACGCGGCGAGAAGTGCTAGCAGGGGAGTTAGAAAAAGCGTATTCCAAGAATCTGTGTAAATTTGTGTGGAAAGTGAGAGACTAGCCAGCTATATATCCACCGCATCATTTGATGATTTTAATGCCTTGAATTCAACTCAGTTTTATACGCTCAAGGCTATTATTATTGGACAGGATCCTTATCGCGGTCTTGGTCAAGAAGCTGCTGCATCTGTTGCCCAGAGAGATGCGAATGCGGAGTAGAAGGCTTTCTTTTCCTGCGCCTCAAGGGGTTAAGGCACCTTCTAATCTTGATAATACATATATTCAAGCAGGATTTGGGGTGTTCGATTCCGTTTCATGGGAATCTGGAGAAACGGGCTGTTCAGGTTAGATTTTGTTCATGCTCTCCTGAACAATTATATGTGATTTGCTGTTTTCTTCTCTACAATGTAGACGTGCAAGGTTTAGATGTAAAAAAGAAGAGGGTTGTGATTGATTTGTTTCTTATCTTATCACATTAAAGAGGTGAATTCGAAGCACGAATCAGTTGGGAAATGAAGTCAGTAGTAAACTCTGGAATGAAATTAAAGATTTGTTCTTTTGTTGCGGCTTACTCATATTTTTTGTTTCCGGGTTTTCTATTGCTCAAGACTGTTCTTGATGGTAAGATTCTTCATCGTGCCAATTTATTTCACAAGGAACTTGTACGTGCTTCGTGCTGATTCTTTCATTTTACTAATTTCTGATCATTGCACACTTGGGATAAATTGAATCAGCGGGCAGAAATGCTCTCATAACCAATGCAATAATTTTTTAAATGTTAATATATAATTTTTCATGAATTAACTCTTAAAAAATTGTGATAAAATCATATAATTTTTATAATTTTATTTAAAAAGTATTTTACAATAAAATATAAAAATAAAAAATGAAAGGAAAGGAAGTGCAAAAAAATAGGTTAGGCCTCCACGCTGTCCTGCTATATAAGGAGGTGAGTGTGAGTGTATAAGGTAAGGTCCGTGCATTTAGTCTATAATAGTAATAAAAAAAAAACCTAGGTGTGTCTAGGCTTGGAAGACAAGATTCACGCGCTTGTACTTCTTATGAGACAACGAGTTGCCTGCTTCTGAATGGACGCTAGGTACTCATGAATTACGCGTGTTTGTTTCTATAGTAATTTTAATACTAAAAAAAGATGATTTTTAAAATTTATATTTTATTGTAATGTGTTTAATTTAAATAGATGTTTGATTAAAATTATGATTAAAAATAATAAGTTAATTGTTTGTTTAAAAGTATGGTTAAAGTTGAAAATACATGTTAAATTACCATAAAAGATAATTAATTTATGTATTAATTTTTATTGTATTTAAACATATATTTAGATAAGATAAATTAAAAAGAAGGAAATTTATTTTTTATTGTATTTAAATAATATTATCATAAGATAAACTAAAAATAAAATGTGATTGATTTATAAAGGTTGAGATATATTTTGTAATGTATGATAGAATAACAAGAGTGTGTTATGATTCTTTAAATTTTAAAATGTTAATTTCAAACTTCTGTTAGATAGTTTTAAGATTTGTTAATTGTTAAGTAGAGTGTGTGTGTGTGTTCAAAGCTTTAACTGGAATTAGAGAGTATTTTGAATCTGCACAGTTTGGAAAAAAAGATACTAGTTGAAGAGGATGGGTAATTAAAAAAGTGTAAAGTTTAATGGGTTTGCATTGGTAAAAACAATGGTATAAAGAATGCAAATAAAGTTTTTAGTTTTCCATATATTAAAATCAGGTTAATAATATTTTTTATTAAGTCATGGTGAAAATATAAAAAGTACACAGGTTTCATAATTTTAAAATTTTATTTTATTTTTATTAACTAGTGGGTTTATTATGGTTTATATGAAATGTAAAAGCAATTGCGTAAACAAACACCGTTTATTTGTTACTTTCTAGAACTAATTCTCCCTTTTTTTATAATTAAAAAATAAAGTGAAAATGTTTTGAATCTCAAATATGAAGCTATTTTTAACAAAATAACCTTTAAATATATGACATGAACCTCAAAAACCCAATTTAGAATTATAAAATACTCTTTATTCGGTTTTAAAACTTAAAATTAAATACAAGCTAAACAAAATTTTATCCATGTTTTAATAACATTAAAGATCCAATTATCATCATCAACTCCACTTTTAAGGACAAATTAATTGATAACAAGATTAATGTTTTTTTTTTAGAAAAATGGTTGGTGGAAACATGTTTTTTTTTTTGCTTTTTAATAATTTTTTCTCTTTTTTCTTGGTAAACAAGGATTGAGATGCAATGAAAATAAAGTTCAGGACTAAAATATATGTACCAAAAACTACAAAAGCCAAATAAGGTAAAAGATGCAAACATTAAAGGATTTCATTGCAATTTTCTATAGAAAAAAAATATAGTGTTTCATTATCTATTTTACTAGTCAAATGAACACTAAAACACCAATGTTTTTTAGTTTATAACTAGATAAGTGGTCTATATTATACCACGAGTTAAACCAGATTGTTTCAACTCAGAAAATAATATTTAGTTGATGATAATCTGAATTAGAATTAGGTTAAATATATTAAAATACAATCCGGGATATAAGACTGAAACAACCTATATAAAAAAAATAAAAAAAAATAAAAAAGTTTTAAATCTAATATTAAAGATGAAAATAAAAATAAATAAATATATATAATATTAAATAAAAAAATTTAAGTTAACTTGAGCTAATTTGATCAACATATGATATAATTGAAAAAAGAAGAAGAAATAACCGGCAAAAAAACTAAAATTAAAAAAGGGCCATGAATACTGATTTTTAATAGATATAAAAAAAGGCTTGATTGTTTTAAAATTAGGATCATAAGAAAACAAACTTCGCCGCATAATCAACCTTCTGAATAAGGAAAGGTAGCATTGCGAAAGGTGGAATTGCTTGTTGAGGCCATTTCTCATGTCGCCAACCACAAATTAAGCAAATCAAAACTCAGCTGCTTGCCTTAAAAGCTTCAGATAACAAGATAACATACAAACCAAGTTTGGAGCTGGATTAATTGCTTGATTTGTGATTGATCCTGTTAATAAATTCAACTACAAAGCCGAAAGCACCCTCCAAATGAGAAATGCACCATTGGCTCAGTCAAGCTGCTTAAACTACCCCCGTAGAGCCATTTTCCCTTTTAAGGGAATGGATGTGTCCCAAATTAGTTTGATTTTGTGATATATTAATATTAAAAATAATGTTTTAAAAATTAAAAAACTATATTATTTTAAAATAAAACCATTAACCCAAAATCCGATGCTGCAAGAGCGGAGTTGTTCCAGAAATTGAATGACAGATGACATGTCATTGCAAATTGCATATCCAAATCTTAATAAGCCCTGGCTTCAATTAATAACTACATGTGGGAGGGGAGGATGCAGTTTTGTTTCCATTCCCTCTTTAGCTTACCCCCCTGTCCCTTTTACTTAAAAGAAGATGGATTAATCATAACAAGAAAGCAACGAGAGCTCCCTTCTCAGTTCTAACAAAACACAAAAAAGCACATCCATTACATGCTATGGCGCTGTTATCATGACGTTTGCCCACATCTTGGTGAAGCCACAATTAGGAGTTTAAACCATGAAAGACAAAAGAGGACGTCCAGAGAGACGCGTTTGAAGAAATTAAAAAAGGCAGCATGCTGATAAAATATAAAAGGTAAGTGAACAGAGAAATGATTTTGTAAGGAAAGTTACTTCTCTTTTAAACTGTCATGCATCCTCCATTCTGATTTCCATGACCATTAATTAGTGACTAGCTATCACTAATCAGTAATCAACATAGTTAAAGAAACTAGAAAACGAAAGAACAAAAGAAGGCAACAAGAAAAGAAATAACAAGACAAAGAGGTTTCATACCCACTAGCCTCTGCCTTTCTTTCCATCCATCCCATGATCAAGATGAAGAAGAAGACCCATGGGGAGTCATAGAACCATCAACATGGACTTTACTCTCAATCTGGTACCTATCAAAGCTATCATGGCTGCTCCCATTGTTATCGTTATCAAAGCTGTATCCCTTGTTGTCCGTACCAATCACTCTACCCGCAGCTTCCTCGTTAACATCAAAACCACACTTGTTGCTGCTATTAATACCATAACTATCACTGACCTTTTCTTTCCTGGACCTGTTGTTATGCATCCAAACTTTGAAAACATTTCTATTAACCCCTATCTCAACGCAAAACTCTCCAACATCTCTATCATTGTTGCCCCTCGGCATTCTCCACCCCAACTTCTCAGCAAAAAGGTACATCTTTTCTTTCTGTTCTTGACTAAACTTGGTCCTTGCTCTCTTTTTCCCATGCGGGTCTATCATTACCAGACTCTGACACTGTTTCTGGGGTTGGGTATCATCAGGATGACCTGCTCTCAAGGCCAGTAACATGTGAGGTGCAGAGGGGTAGAAAGACTTGGGGATTGGTGATGCTGGGCTTAGAGTTGGGCCCGAACTTGTTGACCCTGGACATGGGCTCGTGGTCCAGTTAAGTGCTGGTCGTGGCGGCATGCGAGTGGTGGTGGTGGGGCCAAATGGCTCGCTTCGGTGGAAGTTGCGGTGGCAGCCACAGGCAGCACATTTGAGGGAGGTAGGGTCTTGAGGGGTAGTAGTTGGCTTAGGCATGAACTCCCCGCAGCCATCCAAGGCTAGGCCACCGAAACCTGCAGCATGGTTTTTAAGGCATTCTCTGTAAGAGACCACCATATGTTGCTGTGGTGGTGGTGGGAAATGGTGATTTTGGCGGGTCTTGCCCGAGCCTTTTGTGAGAGATAAGGCCTTGGTGAGGTGGGTCTGGAGCGGGGTTTCAGTATCCGTGTCCGAGTCAGGGGATTTGGTACTATGGTGGGGGCTAGAGGTCAAGTCCATGGCTTTTTCTACACACTAAAAATGAAGAAGTTGAGGGCTATGCAGTGATGATGATGGTTTATCTGTTTTTACTGCCAAATGTCTCACTAGGTAATGTGTATTGGGGGTTGTGAGGTGGGAGATAAGATGGTTGATATAGAGGGATACAAGTGTGCAAGGCAAAGGGGCACCACTCCGAATCCCAACAAAAAACTCGGTGTTCCTTGTGTAAATGTCAACTCAAAGCTTCAACAATCGTGATTTCACTTGCTTAGCTCGTTTTGGTTGCGGGCAATCAGTAGAATTGGTTTTGTACTGCTTTGGGTGGTGAGGGCTGAAGAACACGTTCGATGGAAATCAGTGCCTAATATCTGGGTTAAGGCAGTTTTCAGAGAGATATGTTAGGTTTTAGGTGTCTGCTGCAATGCAGTCCTGAAAGAACACGTGGCTTGATTCTAAGGGTATACAGTAATAAAGGACAGTATGCCCTCATCATCAGGCACAGCTCATCCCCTGCAAAATATAGAGCTATGATTTTCACGTCCAGGCGTGTATTGGTCTCTCTGCCTACGCAATCGTCTCCTCTCCTGTTTGCACATGGAGTTTATTAGAAGATTTCAAACTTGTTTGCTTCCATGGCAAGAAAGAAATCGATGTTAATTTGAGAATTGTTGAAATATGTCAATTAATTAACATGGCCATGGCTAATTTTTTGGCTCGAACAATTAGTTAGCATTATTTAATTAATGTAAACTACTTCATCTTAAGTTTTAATTTAGAACAAGACCGCATGTAATTAAACCGTGTTTTCAAAAAATAATATTTTTTATTTTGAAATATTTTTTAATTTCTCTGAAATTATAATAATAAAAATAATTTTTAAAAAAATAAAAAAATAAAAAAATATTATTTTAATATATTTTTAAATAAAAAATCTTAAAAAATAATCATTATCGTGTCCTGAATTCATCTCCGAATATTTTAGCGATCACATGGACAAGTATCTATCAAGTGGCAGCTTATCAAGGGACTATTACGTGATGGAGGCTGATTTGTCTGCTATGGGAGGAGATTTCAATGGGCAAAGTACTTTGCATGATTAAGGTCGTATTTTTAAAATTGCACCGACCATCTCAAGTGCTTTCCTTGATCCGCCAGTAACTTCTTAGGCTGTTAAGGTCATATTTTTTTTTTATATTTTAAAAATTATTATTTTATATTTTATATTTTAAATTAATATTTTTTTAGTATTTTTATATCTTTTAAATATGTTAATATCAAAAATTATTTTTTAAAAAAAATATTATTTTAATACATTTCCAAATAAAAAACACTTAAACAAACTCTTAGACAAGCCTTTAAATGATGATGGAGTAGTCATTTATTTACTAGAAAATAGTTTTTTTATTTAATATAGGTGTTCAAACTAGTTTGTATATGCCTCGACCAATTCTATGAAATCCAAAGTTAACGACCATACAAGTTTCTAATGACTTTGAGGTTTGTAAGATCAGAACTAATGATTTATAGAGAACAAACCTGCTCCCAAGAGCCTGATGAGTTGAAGTACACTCTTCAATATTGTGAAAAAATAGTTTTATTTTAAAAGGTGATTTTTTTGAAAAGTGAATAGTTGAAAAGTAAATTATTTTTTTTATATTTAGTAGTGTTATGAAAAATAAGTTGAAAAACACTTTCTAGTATCTGATTATATTATGAAAAATAAGTTAGAAAATAACTTATTAATATTTTTTTTGAAAAAAATAATTAAAAAAATGAGAAACAAGTCTTACAAATTAAAAAATTAAATGATAATGAAATTTAAAAAAACTAATTTGATAGACTATCTCAAATAAAATAAATAATAATCAAAATAACAGAGATTAAATCTAATAAATTAAAAAATAATGAAATTAAAATTTCATAAATTATTTAAAATAAAATAAATAACAGTCAAAATAATAAGGATAAAAATTAATAGATAAAAAATTTCAATAAAAAATGATAAGAAAAAAACAAATAATACTCATAAAAATAAAAACTAAAGTTAATATAAAATTAAATTTTAAGAAACAAAACAACAAAAAAAGTTTGAAACAAAAAATATATACCAATTAAAAATTTGAACACTAAATTTGATATAACCAGTAAATAATATGATATTTTTAATTTTTTTTAATTTTTTAAAATTATTTTCTGCTCAAAATAAATAAAATGCTAAATAATATGATATTTTTAATTTTTTTAAAAATATTTTCTACTCAAAATAAAAAAAATACTTTCATAAAAATCAAGTCAAATTTATCTAATTATAAAATATTTTTTATTAATTATTTACTAGTTAGAAGTTTGAACATTAAATTTGATATAACTAGTAAATAATATAATATTTTTAAATTTTTTATAATTTTTTAAAAATATTTTCTACTCAAAATAAAAAAAATACTTTCATAAAAATCAAGTCAAATTTATCTAATTATAAAATATTTTTTATTAATTATTTTTTTAATAATAAATACACATTAAAAAACAATTCCCAGGAAAACAAACAAACGCAAGAGAATCTCATTGCCAAAACAAGGAGGGTGAATAATGTTGATATAGCTAGAGGTCCACCTAATAATCATCATTTTCTCTCCCCTCGAAGCATCCTAATGCGGCGGCAGGTAATTTATTTATTTATTTATTTTTTGGTGCGCGGTTGTAGTCCTATCTCCTAATCATTGTGCATTTCTTTTCACCTTTGCAAGAGGAAATTTGCAAACCCCATTGGAAAATACACACAAAATATACATGTTATCGAGAAATATTGTAACCAATGACAATCCAGGGAAAAATTATATAGACAAATCACAAAATTTCAAGATGTGATCTTTTGTCTTTTTATACTCTCATCCCTGGTTAATGTTCTCCGATCACGCTTCATTGGAACCCAACAGAGAAAAGTCTGCTCAATATAAACGAGATTTATGGTTTTTAAAAAATTTATTTTTAAAAATAATTTTTTTATATATTTTAAATCTTTTTAATATGGTAATTTTAAAAAATAAAAAATATCATTTTAATATAAATAATATTTTAAAACATAATCACAGCACCCTAAACATGGTGTTGACAAACCTGCTGCGAGGTTGATGGATATGGAGAGATGATGGCGATCTCTGTAGTTGCAACAAGATGAAAAAAGTTGCAATAAGCTATCAAATTATCAACGCCACCCCTTGACCCTAAAACCCTAAAGCCCGCGAGATATGGCCTAGATAGCAAAGAGAAAAGCTCCTACTAATTGATTGGAAACATTGCCTGACAACAACGATGCCATCATCCATGAAGCATGCGCACGGTGCTAGAGAGAATGACCCTAGGGTTGCTCCACCGGAGCCTCTAATTCCAGGAAAGATTGACAAAAGGGGGAAAAGACATGCATGCTTTCTTTGTTATTATCACTTCCGGTGTTCTGCTTTTTTACATGAAGTAGTAATTAATTTTGAATGGTAGAGCGGTGAGGTTTCGTGGACGCGTTTAACCTAGACATGGCATCAGCAGCTGCATATCATTGTGGGTTCATGCTATATTAGTGAATTAAGACTTGTTAGACTTGTTTATGATCAGTTAATCATTCATTCACCAAAGGAGCAACATTTTTGTTTTAGATGTTAGCTGTGGATGGATATGATCGGAGCTTGATCCATCTAAGAAAGACCCATAATTTTTATAGAAGTTAGCCCCCTGAACCTCTCACCTCCCTCCCCACCAAAAAAGAGAGGAGAAAACGCAGCAGCAGCAATTAAGGTTGAGGGGATTTGAGTCGAGTTTCTTTCTTGTTTTTTTTTTCTTTTCGATTGAATATTTCAGTCGAAGTTATTATTTTGTCTCGGATCTATTCGATTACCTGGACAAGTAATTATGAGAAGAATTTGATAGCCCGAGTCCATGGAAACTCGGCAATGATAATTATTCATCTCGCATTGTTATCTTCCACGAACGTAGAAGAGAAACAACAAAAAAGCAAGTCGATGACAATCATGTGGTGTCTGAGATCGCAATTCAACCGTAATTTTTTTTTAAAATCAATTCTTTTAAATTTTAATTTCTTTCATGTCTCTATAAATTTTTAATTTTCTAATGCCCAATTTAATTTAATTTTTTAATAAATCCTCGAGCAAAATATACTTTAAAAAATAATACTTCCTCGTCATTGAGTAATTAATCCCGATCATGCAATTAATCATGGCCAGCAGGGCAGATAACGTGGGTATTTGTGCAACACCAGGTTTGAGGGCAAAAGGGAAGAAATGTCCCTCTGCCTTCAAGAAGGGCACACAGTAGAAAGGAATGTTGGAGAGTGTTATTTTTTATTTAAAATATATTAAAATAATATATTTTTTAAATTTTTTAAAATTTATTTTGGATAACATCACATTAATTTTTTTCAAAAAATAAAAAAACTGTTAAAAAAAACTTAATTTTTTATTAAAAAAAAAGTCCACAGCCACAATCAACAAACAATACCGAACCACTAGAGCCCATTGACATTTGTTTGTCAGTACAACAACGGCCTTAAGCCCATTTGCTTTTAATAGAGCAATACCCGCTAAACCTTGCCGTTTCGGGATCCAATCAATTACCTTCTTTCTTTCCGCCCAAAACAAAGGCCCTAAATTGATCACTCACGCGCCTCACAATCCCCGAATGGAATCCACGTCGTGGTCAACAAATTCAACGGCGTAGATTGTTTTTGAAAAATACAGTCAAGGATTGATGAGCATGTTCTGGTGATCGAGAATCATTCAACCTTCACGATTAGGGCTTTATTAGTGAAAAGGGATTCTCTATGAATGAATTCACTCTCTGGGTATGGTTATTTTTCTGTTTTGATAAATGAGTTTAACTTGTTTTAGTTTGATTCACCTATTTGCTGCTCTTTCAAAATAAATGGCAGCTTGAACGGTTTTGTGCTACATGTTACTTCATAGGCAATGTTATTTCGTGGCGTGAACTTGCTTTGTACAAAGTCTCTATGTTTTATATGGAAGGGAAGTTTTGCTCTTTCTTTTTGCTTGCTATCGCTTAAATGTATTTGTTGATTGAATACTTCAATTTCGTGTTAAAAAAACTCGTTGATTGCTTTTCGAAATGGACAAATCATTTATGATTGGCACAGGCTTTTGAATTCAGTAAGTGTAAGCAGCCTGTAGGGTAGACTTGCCCTTCTGTATTGGTTGCCTCGTTGGAATTTCCCAAATCGCAAACTAGTGAGCATTTAGATTTTCTAGGCTTGAATAGTCATGGTGTTATGATGCGATGCTGTCCTAGAAAAGAAGATGCTGTCCTAGAAAAGAAGATGGGAGTGGAAATAGGTTAGTTTGGTGTTAATAGTGCTGCTGAGAAACCAAATCCTCCTCCTCAACTTTTAGTATAATATCTTATCTTTCTTATTCTCTGCGTCAATCCCAATGCCTCGCTTTCTGTAAATGTGCTTCAGAACAAGTTCCTTAAATAATTCTAAAGATACGTCTTTCCTAAGTTAAACCATCGTCTAGTTCCTGGTCATTTTTATTAAGGAAATGCAATGATGTTACCAATAATTTTACTTTGTTGGAGACCCAAAGCATGTGCACTGTTATTTAAAAAAGCTTTGTCAGATCAACCAATGTAATCCACTAACCCCCCTCAAATTTGCTCAAGCCATACCACGATGAGCCCCTGTTCTATGGCAGTAAAGGAAACTGAATTCTACTGGAGTGTATATTTTGCTGCTCATAATCCTGTATATTTTAACTGCAGTTTCAATGATATTCGACCCCGAACTAAGTGGGAAAGATAATTGAAATTTCATGAAGTCTGATAGGTGGGATGATCCAACGTAGAAGTGTCTCTTTAGATACGCTTAACCTGTTGTTTTCTTAGTTTTATCAGGTTAATAGCAGCATCATAAATGTTATCTACTTTGTAAAAGGGAGAGCATCCTTGGTCATAACAGTGATCATGTTGTATGCCCATATTGATATGACTTAGCTTCTGTAGGTAGACATGAGATCTGCCCTGTTCATGTCCCATGAAATAAGGCGTGGATTGTCATAGTAGTTCTTAATGAAACACTAAGAAAACCTGTAGGTCTACTTCATAAATGTACATAAAATCAGTTGTGAGGCTTCTAGTTCCTGTATGACTGGATAGGAAGTTTATTTAATTAGTGCTTACCTTTGTTCTGGAGTTGTTGGTATTCTGGGTTAAGGCATGTCAAGGGTTGAGTTTGAATCAATCAAAGAATTTTTACCCTCAGTATGCTAAACTGTTAAACAAACTTTGTTAATGAAGGAATATTACTATAGTCTACAGATTAGCATATAACTAAGCAAACAGATGCAAATTTCAAAGAAAGATTGAGGGGAGAAGAAAAAACTGTCTTTTCCTTTCAGGGAGCCATACCATCACCCATTCCGTGTTCATTGGCGGTTGATTATGATCTCAACTTGTGGCACAGAGATGATACTGGCTCTGTGAAGATTTTCTCTAGTGGCTTTTCTATACACATCTCTCTCTCTCTATATATAAAAACAGAAACTCTTAAAATAAAATAAAACGCTAAACCAATCAACCCATCCTCTTTAGAGTTCTTCAAAATGCAAAATTCACCACCTTCTAGTTTTCTCTGCATTGCTAGAAACTATTCTTTTTCTTTAGCTGTTGACTTGCTCTTCCTGCCTCTGTTTGAAGAGACAATTCAAATATATCAGGACCTGTTGTGGATAGGATCTGATCCTCTCCGTACTCTTCTTTTGTTTGATTGACTTCGATCAAATGTCTTGCTTGCATGCGCTGATTTCTTTGTGTCCATTCCCTGCATATCAACATCCTTAAGAACACGTTGGCTTTGTGGTGCTGTCCCTTGAGCTTTTTGGTTGTGCCTGAGGACCAGTTCTACACTCGTCAAGCCATAAACTTTATCAGGTTGAACTGCTATGAACCCAATACATATAAGAAGGATAAGCACTCTATGAGCACAAAAAACCATTGTTTCTGCTTTGAACAAACAACAAGAGCAGAAGTATGTTGTTTCTGTTTAGAGTAATGAGATGATGAACAGGTCTGAGAATGTGAGGTTTCTATGGTATGCTCCATTCCTGTGGATATAGGTCTGTTATTTATCCCTTGTTGGATTTGGAGGGCGCTTTAAAGCAAAAAAGCAGGGAGGGCCCCAGAACACCCACTGGGATTTTTGATTCACTCAAATCATAAGCCTGCATTCTAAACAATTTAAGGCTGTTATGGAAGAATCTGACAATGATGAATAAAGGAGTTGGAACAATACCCTTGAGAAGCCAAGTATCTTTTTCCATTTGTTCCCCCACGTCTCTATCATTTGTTCTGCTTTTGCTATTGAAACAGGCCTACAACTCTCTTGAACTCTTTAACTGTCTGGCCACATCATCCGACCATGCTTACTTGGACATGCACTGGGGACTGATATTTATTCGTAGCCAATGGTCTTTCCAGCTCGGGTCTCAGCTTGGTTGAGCTCAGCTTGTGTGGATGCCTTAACTACGTACTTTTGGGGCGTACTTTGAAGCAAGCTTTCTACGAATAACAGGGTTTGCTGTTGCGGTTATAAATACATATTCTAATGGTATGAAGATCTTTTATGTATGGGGGTGTTCTGGGAAATTATCATTGCTTTGATATTAAGAAAAGGGGAGTTTTGTATTTTAAGCAGGAGTGACTGGGCAGACATAAGCCACGGGGCCACTAAGAACCAGTAGTAGATTGCTACAGTGGAAAATGCAAAGAATCAAACAAGAGGGTGGAGAATGAGGAATAGAAGAGCCCCCAAAGAAACAAGCTCTTGCTTTATGCCATTCTAAGATCTCCTCCTCACTTTAGAATTCCAAGCTCTCTTCCCTATGCAACAAAAATAACATTACCTGGTTTCTTGTGCAAAATGTGTTTCTTTATGCTTCTTTTCTTTGGGTTGCCAAGTACTTAATCCCCCATTCAATGATTCAGGAAGACCCACTTCAAGCCTTCCTCCCTCCCTCCCTCTCTGTGGATTAATTTGTAATTTTTTCTCGTTTATTTATGAAGACCATCTTTCCCTTTATTCTCTTTTCCTTTACTGTTATTGTTGCTGTTATAATAAAAAGCACATGCATCTAGGAACATTCGAAGGCATATGTTCTTGTACTTTATTAAAATGGCTGGTGAATATTTATGGTGGTTTATCAACGGTGTTTAATGATGGTCCAATAACGCAAACCCAGCTTGAATGTGTTGTTGATGTGCTGATTCTTTGCTTTATATCTTCCAAATAAAAGTAGAATGGTAAAATCGACTGCTGCTTTGTATTCTTCCCTATCTGCCATAAGGATTAAATCCTCCCCTGGTGGGTGGTGCCATGCACATGATCAATATGCGGATTCATTTGGAGGTCTTGTTTGCTTGAGATGGATATGAGAGTCCTAATGTGTTTAACCATGAAGTTGAGTGATGAAGACATCCACCTCTGTTTCATCACATTTTGAATCAAATTATTGCTGCTGCACTACACCTGAGCTTTCTCCTCCACTGACTGGATTGGCATCCACCATGAGCACTTATGAACTGTGTTCTGATGCAATATCTTCGGACAAGTATTATCGGATTTCTTTTTTTATTTGTTTTGTTGCTTTCATGGTCAAGTGGTGTCGTTGTCCAGTCAAACGGGATGCATCGAAGTTCAAATGCTCATGGAACACTCCTTTTCTTTTCCTACTTTTTCTCCAACAAGTGAGTTGGATGAAAGGCTTCAGTTTCTAAAACAAAAGAAATTTTATTTTCATGACTTGCTTTGTATTTTCGGTGTTTGAGTCCCAACTTTGCATTTGAAATATATTTTCTTAAAGAATATAGCCGGAAGATATCTTGGGCCGCAAACACTTTTTTTCCTCTCTCTCTCACAATATTATTACTGTTTTTTTTTTTTTTTTTCCTGAGATTCCTTTTGTTTTTAGCCCTATCTCACTTAGCTTTTCTTTTTAATTTTACAGTAAAGAAGAGGTTTGAAACTTGGTTTAAAATATTATAAGTTATTAGGTGAAGTTAAAATAATGGTTTCGTAATCATTTAATAACCCATCAAATTCGCGTATTTCCAACTGTATTTATGATCGAATTACAAGAACGGTAAAGCATTCAGATTAAAAAATATACATGCCAAATTGATAACTTTTGTTTTTTCAAATGTATTTAACCTAAATACCTGAGGGTTTCTTAAACTAGAAAAACTTAGGATGGATAGAGGAGATGAAAAAAACAGTAATTATATCAATTCATGTACAAATATGATAAATGTTTTTTAAAATAATTTTTATTTAGAAATATAGTAAAATAATATTTTTTATTTTTAAAAATTTATTTTTGATATCAATCTATTAAAACAATATAAAAAAATAATTTAAAATAAAAAAATTTAATTTTTTTTAAAACATCAAAATAAAATGATGGGGAGAGTTGTCTAATGGTTCTTCATTTTTCTCTCTCTCCTGAATATATGAAGGTAATTCATCAATACGAAATCAGGAGAATTCTTTCATTCAAACCTAGCCAATCAGGGGGAGGACAAAAAGAATAGAAGTGGGTCCTTCTGGGGTCGTACGGGTTGTACTTATTTTTAAAAATATTTTTGCTTCTAGTTTTTTTTATTCTGGAGTTTGTTAACATTACACTCTTAATTCAGAGGCCATGTCCCCTTTGGTGTCAGATAGGAAGAAGCATTAGCTTCAGATTGTGGTAAAAAGAAGGAAGTTTTATTTAAATCTTAAAGTGAAACCCTGAGCTACAGATTGTGGCTTTGTAGATTCTCGAGGCTGGTCTTAAAGTCGGGACTTCTCTTCAGTACTTTCATTTCCAAGCTAAAACGATGGGTTGCAGGACTCGAATCCATATTCCATGGTCCTTCTTTTTTATTTTTATTTTTTTTCCCATTTAAGCCACCAATGTCATGTCAGGGCCGACACACAAAGGTGGCAATAGAAGATCGCCAGAGCAGTTTCTGTTAAAGTTAAAGCAAATTTGAGTATGCAATACTTCCATATACTCAAAAGAATACTTGTGATGTGTTCTGCTAGAACGCAATGCAATAGAAGAAGAAAATAAGCACCAATTCATCCTATAGATTACACTTCCATAGAACAGCTTATCCTTGACTACAAGTGCATGCATTATTACACAGTGTCTTAAAAGAGCACTAATGAATAAGATTGGAGGACATAGAGTTTGGCATTTATTAGGATTCTGACAACCGGAAGGTTTCCTTGACCTTCCAAGAGCATAGATCGGTTTGCAGCACTACCTAGCATTATTTAACAAATGTATAAAGTGGGGAAGTGATTATTTTTAAAATATTTTTATTTTAAAATATATATTTTTCATTTTTAAAAATTATTTTTGATATTAATGTCAAAACAATTCAAAAATATTAAAAAATTCAAACAAAAAAATTTGAATTTTATCTAATCCCTGTTCGAAACACAATAACAAATAAGGACTATCTCGAATTGATTATTGGGGTTTAAGGTCAATAGCATGCAATAACAAATAAAATGTATGAATTTGAACAAAAATTTAGTCACCAAAATAACACTTGATACTATGACAATCACAAATGTTATCTGTCTACCTGGAATAGATAGGTAGGCAATGGTCATTGAACTAACAGCCATTTTGCGTGGGGATCCAAGTATAACAGGGGACATCTTACATGTTTTGCTGTTGCCTTCTTAGGCCAGCCGAAACATGCATCATCAGTGAAGTTTTGGGCCTGATAAGATATTCCAAGAAGGATGTTAATCTGCTTCGAGATTCCATATTTGTTTTTTCTCGGCCAGTTCCGAAGAAATTTAGAGGACAAAAAGCCACATTGCAGGTTGAATCATTCTCTGGAACAGCTAATCACTTCTTTAGCAGAGGAAGATTCTTGATGAACCCGATCGTAAGCAATATCTGTTTCTAAAGGGACGCCAAAAAGTCAGAGCTGCAAACAGAATGTTACCGAAACACAAGTAAAAGGGAGATGCTGCCTTGTTCTACTTTTAACATTGTTTTTAATGAATATTAATCATGCCTGGAGCCTGAGAGAACATATTCTTGATGCTTTATGAGCAGTTGTTTTAAACGGTCGTATCTTCATTTGGTCATCCACCTGCCAATTTCGAACGCATTTTCTCCCCATCTCCTCCTCCACTTTACAGGGTGTAGCTCGTGTGTTGGATAGAGTACCAATGGGCATGTGAAGAGAAGATGGAGCGAGCTCCTGCAGAAGCCAGCTCCATCTTTCCTGCAATCAGCCCTCCTGGTCTCGCGGTCCAAATTGAAAGCTACGCACGATATATTAAGAGCGGAGATGCGCCATCAAACTAAGCTTTACAGAGTTCCATTCAATGAAATTGCATCCCATACGATCTCTAATCTGGCACGTCAATCTTCCCGGGAACATTTCCACCATGGTGTCGATGATTTTGTAAAACAAACACCTCTCCATCATCAACTATGATAATTATGCTCCGGTGAATCATTTTTTGACTCCATTCTATTGTCAGTTCCTTCAATTGTTCCATTTGGGCTACATTACCGCGGGAACGCTCCTCCATCTGCCCGTCCCTGTTTTGGCTGCTTTTTGTTTCACGAAGGCTGGGGCTAACCTAATCTTCATAGTACGATTTCTCCCAGGAACTCGAGCAAGAAGCTCTCAACCCCTTTACACAACTAAATTGACAAGATATTCACAATGCTGCATGAAAATGCTCGTGCCAGTAGAAAATAAAACCAGTTTCAGAGTACTAAAAATAAACTCTCAAATCAGGGGGAAACAATTTAAAATTAGAATTGCAAGAAAATGTGTTTAAATTTAAACAAAGTACAAAATACAGGGAGGGGCGAGGGCATCCGAGCTCATGTTTTGCCAGCAGATTTAATTATCCAGCTACTTTCTTTGGACTGGTCACGATATAATGCATATACACGTTTTCAAACAGGACAGATACTGATTGATAGCATTTTGGCCTTGTAAACAGGCCATTAAACATTTTTCTGGATGATATTATTCAACAGCAATCTCTTTCATCCTTCCATTACTTTCCAACAACCACATTTGTTTTGTAATATTAAACAGGTTCCTGGTGAGGAGTTACAGTAGGTCCTGGTGCAATGGTAAACTGCAGACCCCTCTGTTGCCCTGATTGGAGCACAAAAGCAACCTGTGTCGCTGCCAACGCTGCTGCCTCCTGTTAAAACAAATTATTGTATAAACTTCAATATAAACTATTATATAACATCAATTTGATGTGAAAAGATAAGATAGCATGGACAAAGTTACAGATACAACACAACAGCTTAGAACTGAAAGAAGCACCAACCTGTCTTTGCCTCCGACGCTGCAAGATGCTGATGGCCCAGGCCATGATGTAACAGGGAAGAAGAAAACCAGCTGCCCGAAGCAGGAAAAGCTGTAGGTGATCAACTGGTTTGTTAGATTGGTGAAACCATAAAATCAAATAAACACTAAACAACGAAGAAATGATGATCGTCATTATCATAGAATAGATGGAAATACCAATTCCACTTACAGAAAAAAATGTAGACACATCATCGTCTGCATCGGAATCTGTGAGAGTCAATGCATGCCGCAAGAGCAGGAGGGCCATCAACTGCAATGTAAGTGAGTTTAGGATTAAAACCAAATTTCAATTGTGTAGATAATCTAAGAAAAATGAGAGCTTAAATAAGAAAGCAATAGCAAGAGAAATAGCAGATTGAATACACCCAGGTGGTATTCTCAAGCAGCTTCCATGTGATATAGAGGGAAGTCTGTTCAAATCTCCAAAGTTCGGTTCAATCGGGTTTCTTTATATTGCTAGTATTCTCCAGGTATTGAGAAAAAATAATCATGGGTTAGCAAACAAACACTTCAATATTAAGGGCACAGGGAAAATATCCTCACTTGTAACAGCTGACCAATTGTACCAATTCACAAAAGATTCTGAATTATAATTCTCACATGGAACCATGAAAAAAGAAAATTTTGACTCTTCAAATGGTACTGGGGGGAGTTTTGAAATCAAGGGCT